TTTTGTGCTTATGTAATACAAACTATGTTGAATAAGTAAAAGCACTTAGGCTACCATTAAACTACAACCAAAAGTATTACAATATTGTAGGAGAAATGTTTCGTTATAAGCGAATAAATCAAGCTTTACATGCCCTATAGGAGGTAGTGCGTGTAATGCTAAACCAACCATTGTTCTATTCAGTTTTAGTGCAAATATGCGGTAATGCAATACTATCACATTTTTACACTTGAAACCAGGTCATTCGCTGATAACACTGTGAGATATTATGATCTTTATTTAGATTATTCAGCTATTTAAAGCTGCTGAGGTTAAGTCTGCCAATGCATCGTTTTCCTAGACCATTGGTAATAATGGATTTGAGTCCTAAATTGAAACTTAAAAACAAACATTTTTTTTCTTCAGAAAACTTGAGATACGAAAAAATAGGTACTCATTTTTATCACAAACAACCTTCGCCAACATTCACTTCTATCCAGCCCAAAAGAGGAATTTTTCAAATATTTCTTAAAATTGTTTTTTCCACTGAATAATTTTAATAAATATTTGAAGAAATTTGCAAATTGTTAAAGCATGACTAAAGTAGATTAGGTTAGATTGAAGTAGCGGCCTTGTATCTAAAGCCCATTTTAGCTCACATAATAGCCAGTCTTGATACCACTGATGGCTAACGTAAAAAGTGCAATCTATTCATTCATGAAGTTTACTTAAAACATGATATTTGTATGTAATGAAATAAAAATGTTATTACTCCCTTACAACCTTAATTTTTAAATGTTAACCAGTTGTTACCAAAGACCAAGCTGAAGAAACCGACAGGTTTTGTTCGGCCATTACAGTTGTATGCAAATTACATCATCCATTTCTGTTTTAAGTTGGACGTGAAAATATTGTAGATCTATAGCAAATACGCTTTTTCACTGATTTGCTTGTAATTTCATCTAGGGTTTAAAATCGATACCCTATGGTTCATGAATAGTAACTACTTGGGACTACTATGTCCATTTCTTACATATTTAGCGGTATAAAAATGCTCTTCCTTCTGTTCGATTGTCAAATAAGAAAGAACCCAATCAGTTAAAATTATTAAACCCAAATCAATTCGTTCAATGCAACCAAATTGTTTAAACATATATGAAACCTTCAACATCACAAATCATATTTTAACAAATTAAACATTTTTGTGAATAAATATTAAAATTATTTCGACCCTCAATTGACGTTCCCCACATTCTAAGGCATGAAACATTTCCTTTGATTTAATAGTCTTCATTAAAGCGGTTAACTAAATTACGCTATAACATAGGTGTTTACTGCTTACCGAAAGCTGTACCTTAAGTCTAATGAATTACGTTTGTTCCAATTGTTTTGAAAGGTCTTTTAACTGTAACTATCAACTTTGACTATATATCCTCCAACAAGTACTGCTACACAGATATAAACAGGAAAAATATTGATGAAATTGCTGTACAATCGACTAATTATTCTTCTCCGTGTAGGTTTTCCATTATGTTTTTTTTTTAAATTATTTATAAATTTGATATTTAAATAATTAGAAAATGTTCCAACAATCCACAACATATGGATTTATTTTAATATAAACACATAAACTTGTGACTATATTCTTTTCTTACGAATATGGTCTTAAAAGCTGAGATATGAAGGGAATTTAGAGATGAAGGGAATCCTCCGAAGATATACTGAATCCAAATTAACTTATTTAAATGTATAGTTTTTCAAATTCATTTAAATGTAACTAACAACCGCAGCCAATAAATATATCTTAGATAACTAAAGTTGTATCAGTATGCAATCTTCAACAATGCAAATACCATATTACCATATCATCGATCCATAAATACTTAACACTTATATAAATGCGACTTCCTTAAAAATAAGGATACTTATTGATATAGAATAACTCCGTACATTCTGTGATACATAAAATATAAAAGTAATATTAAAATGGGGAAACCGTGTTTGTGGTTAAAATTTAAAATACTAATAGCTTTCCACTCGTATAAAACTTAAAGGAAATCATTTCAAAATAACCACAATTTGCAAGAATTCAAAGTATTAATCCCACACACTTTTTTATACACCCTGTATAACATGTTTTATTTATTTACTCATAAAGTAAGCCTTAAAACCAGTTCAAACTCAAAGTCAGCTGAAGTTCCAAACTGAATGAAATACGATGTGTGGAACTATGCACTATGAAATGTTGGCCTTTAGTTGGACGACTGTGGGTTGAAATAAACTTTAAATTTTTGTTTGCAGTTGAATTGCATACAACTGCATTCAACTGCAGGCAGTCAACTGCAAAGTGTCAACTTTTATGACATTTCATTACAAATTTTATATTCTCTTCGCTTTTCATTGAAACGGTGTACTTTGCGATATTATTGACCATGAAACCACAATAAATGCAGTTAATTACCGTCGTTGTCATTGCAGCAATCATAACGATTTTTCTTTACAAAGATATAGATATTAAGTGATTATGTCTACCATTTCAGCATTTAGATATTGTCATATAAAGAATGCCTTGAATATAGCAGGTTTGACTGCATATCATGGCTCTAAAGCTTTATTTGCATGGAATCAACGTCATGCAAATGACAATGTTAACCACCGATTTTGCGCATGGCTGTGTGGGTGTGGTGCAATGAACTTTCTTTTTGTGTGTAACAAGTTTTATAGTAAAAAATATATATATAAAATTTTTGATGACATTTATTATACAACCGTAACCGTACGAGTGGCAGTGCAACGCGTGAATAAGGAGAAATAAACGCCTCTAGCGCATTAGTCGACAAACATGAAAATTCTTGTCGATTTAGTCAGCTTTTCATTAAATATTTAGTAAGAAGCGCTACTTAGTTATTCCGTACCCAGGTGCTATGAAAACTCACATCACCATCAACTAATTTTAAAATAATAGTTTCAAATTAGATTAAAACATTATCGATAGTATAAACTAAAATTGTTTAGTAATGATATTCATGCCATATCTAAATAAAGAAATTCTATTATTCTTTCCACCCTTTTGTTTTTTTTTAACTTAAGTCAACCTGGCTAGTTAATCTATCCTTGGATATATTCTCACCGTAATCTGTGCATTAAGGTTGATATCAATGTAGATTTGTCGTAGGCAACCTTATTTTGCGAAACAAAGAAGTACTTAAACGATTCTGTTCTATTCCTGAACTTCCTGAAATTGTGGATCCTCCATTTTAAGCATATATGCATCAAGGCAGGACATAAAATTAGAAATGTTTTAAGTTCTCCTTTATTGTTAGCTCCCTTTTTTTCATGCATTAATGAATACAAAAAATATTTTAACTTATTTCCATGTGGCGGAAATAAACTGTGACCTTACATCAGCTCACTTATGACTGTTATAAGAGTTCTGCAACCTTTCAAGAACATTACTAGTATAAATTGGGTGCACTTATCTTTACACTTCTTTTAAAATTTGACAGCAATACCACACTGATTCGCCGCACTTTTATTCCTGCTTTTTCATATACTCATTCCAGATCCTTTCGTACGCACTTTATGAACACATCTTTTTCCAGAGTTCCTTGAGAATCATTTCCATTACTTAGTTTATCTTCTATGATATTTACATGAACAGATAGTTAAGAGCTTCGAATAGTTGATAAACGATCAATAATAGAATATTAATTATATTATCGGTTAATAATAGAATAGGGTATGACAGTCCTGACAGCATTTTAAGATCTTATACGTATTTTCAAGCTTTATGTAATGCATTCTGAATAATCTGGATAATCAATGTACGTTGTCGATGACCACACGAATATATGTCGCATATCGAATATATTTAAAGGAATGACTTCTACCATTTAACTGCTCCACCATGCGTATCGTGTTAATCTGCTCTATGCGCGAGAGATTCGCATTGAGTCTTGTCTGTTGTTTAAAAATGGTACTGTTTAATATAGACTTAGTGAGGTTTAGTGGAATGGAGGGTAGAATTGAATAAATTATATTTGGAGGAAAGACTGTGCCAATACACAAGCAATTCGGCATAAGTTTTGCCTGTTTAAAATGGTGACATTTACATGGAATTGTTATGTTTAGTAGAATAGACGATAATGTAGGAAATGGTTAGTAAGGTGATGCTACTAGAAATATATATAAAAGTTTTTTCTCTTATTAAATTTTTTTTATGTTATTGTAATACCTTAAAAAGGTCTGTATTATTTGTGCTTCAATTTAACGTAAACAGTTAAACACTATTGAAAAAGTTCAATAATTTATCTTATTAAAAAAATATATACTAATACTTGATAAATATGGGTAATAAAGCTAATGTGTTATTTGTTGGATATTTGTTGTTAAAAAACGAATCGGTAAAGGTTAATCTAATCTTCTGAAAGATTATTTCCCTTTTCTCTTGCATGACTTGAAAATCTAATGAAAAAAAACTACAATTTATGAAATTTTGCGTCTTCTAAATGAAAAGGAATCTGAAAAGCACCGCACACTTTTAAATTTTTTACAAACAAATTTCGAAATCTTATCACAAATGTTTTAAAATGTCATATCTTTGAACACAAAAACAGACCAATACACATGCAATATATTTTATTTTTGCAAATATCAAATTGATTTTCAGCAAAAACTGAATATTTTTTATTTTCATTTTCAGAAACGTTGCTACATTGAAAAACGAAAGGTGAAAAACTCTTACGAAACGTGAGCAGTCAACGGCACAAGAAAATAATAAAAAAAATTAACAAATTCACTTATCAATGTTGAGAGAAAACAAAAGCTTAAATGCAAAAATATCTCAAAATAAATTTTCACAAAAAAATCTTTCGGTGAAATATTTTATAAAACAACTGAATCGATAAAAAGATTGCTGGATACAAAAAGCAACAACACAAAGTGCCGATTTCGAGTGCAACAAATTTTAAATCGAGGAAATTTTTAACCCAAACGCTTAATAAAGAGGAGGATACATCGAAATGTGTTCAAAAGAGTTATTCCTGTTTGTTTGTTTAGTTGGTCTGCTCGGTGGCCTCAGACTAACCTCAACAACGACAACCACCACATTTGTAGCTGCGATGTCAATTGGCAATCAGGACATAGAACGCTATTTTCGTTCAGTGAATGCTTCACAGTCATTAGCCGTGATGACCGAAGATCGCATTGCTATGGATACATATACATTTGCCTTCATCAATTACACCTATTACGGCGATGATCACATTAAGCACGAGGTGCAATATGCAGAAGAGAAGGCACGTTATGGTGAGGGTAGAATTCTGTCTGTCAAAGGTAAATTAGTGCACGTTACCGATGCGAATGATTTCACTGATGACTATGCATGCTCACCAAATATTTTGGGCACACTCGGTAATCCAACACCATCGTCTGGTGTGTCATGGATTGCTTTAGTGCGTCGCGGTCGTTGTACTTTCGAGGAGAAGGTGAAGAATGTGCACTACAAGGGCGCAGCAGGCGTTATTGTGTACAATGATAAGACAGTTCCAAACCTGGAAAAAATGCAAATAAAGGGCAAAACTCGTAAGTCGATTAATAAATTTTAATTAAAGAACATATGTGCGTATAGACTTCCAATTTTGTGTGAAAATTAAATTATAAATGAATAAGCGTTTTAATAATTTTATAACTTGTGTTACTACTTTCCACTACATTGAAATATTGAAATATGTTCAACAAGTTATTTCTTGAATACTTTTAAGAACAAAAATAAAACAAATTTAATGTTTATTTATCAGAAAATGAAAAATTTTTTAAATTTTTTAATCTCAGACAATCAAAAAAAAATTAATGGAAGCGAAGAAGATATTTTTTTCAACAATAGATTAATTTTATATAATTTTATTATAATATAATTGCTTTTTTATTATTATCTATTTTTATTATTTGATAATTATATTACCATTAAAAATAGAACGAATAGTTTAATGATTTTGCACCCCTCTGGGTTCCAACTAACAGAGAAGAGAAATTATTTATACCAACTGTGAAAATATTTCAAGAATTTCAAGATTTAAGTAATTAATTTTTATTTTATTATTTTTATTTATTTTATTTACTATTTATATATATCATTGTATTATAATACAATATATTATACAGCTGTCAAATAATATTTTTCATAATAGTTTTTAAACTGTTTAAGTCAAGTTCTGCCAACTTTATACCCAAAGCAAAATTAAGCGACCCTCCATTTTGTAATGGATCCAGTCTAGAATTTAGTTATATTTATATATATATAAATAAATTAAAATTTAAATTAAAAAAGAATCTTAAAATATTAATTACCCGATAAAACACTACACGTGACAGCTTGATCAATATTAAAACAAATATATTTTAGGGTAATAAAATACTTATTGATTATACGAGGGTCGCTTTTTAAGTATCTATTAAAAACAAATTCATTTATTTTTATTACTTTTGTGATTATAATTATTAGTTTACTATACTTTTCTTAACTTTAAGAAAACCTCATTTTGTAAAGTATCTAAGCCTGATTTTTCCTCTTGGTTTTAAAGATGGTTTCTTAATAGCTTCATTTTTTTAAAAGGAAAATTCTAAAGGATCATCTTCATATTTTTTAAATATTATAATAATTTGTTACCGGGCTAATTGGTCAAATTTTAATATAAATAAAAAGACACTAATTTATTATTTATATTTAAAAATCGTTTATATTTTATTTCCGATATTTCGACTATCTTCGATAGTCATCTTCAGGGAAAACTACACAAAATATAGGATGTTCACATTTTTATAGCGGATTATAAAGAAAAATCATACAATAAATACAATAATAATGATGACAACAAGAGAAAAAAAAAACAACAATAAAAATACAAAAGAAAAATTAAAATTATAAAAAAAATTTATAAAAAAAACAAAAAAAGCTTTACAAACATCCTGTGTCATTTGTTTATAATATTCCTGTAAGCCTGAGCACAGTTGTCCGTATCAGTTTTATAATTGAGTCTTATATTATTGGGCACTTGAAGTATTGAGAGCATTTCTAGAAAGTACCTCTTATTATGGTTCCTTTCTTCATATAAAATTTTTGCCTTATCAAAATCAGGTTCATGTTTATGCTCCATACAATGCACAGCCAATGCTGTATTGGCTTCAGCACCACTTTTATTTTTTAAACTGTGTTTATGTCCAGCCATCCTTGTCCTAAGCTTATTTTTAGTCGTACCTATATATATTTTGTTACATACATTGTACCCGTCACCTTTACAATTCAGCTGGTACACTACATTAGATTTGTCTTTATTATTAATTTTAGTTTTCGTATTGCTATATAATTTAGCTATTGTGTTTGTTGCCTTATGAGTAATTTTATAACGTTCCTTGTCATATATACTAGAATTAATTATTTGGTTCGACAATTTCGGAACATAATCAATGGATTTATATATTTTTTTGTCATTATTATTGTTAGGTTGGAGCTTTTTAAAGGTCTTATTAAGCATCATATTAATAATCCTTACGGGGAAGTCATTCTTTATTATTCTTTATTCTTTATTTTTTAAATAATTAAGACTTAAGTAGATAAGTCTGCAGAGTAATTTTAGAATGCAGAAAAGAATATGAAACTAAGACATATGACAGTAAATTTTTGTATAATTATGTTACATGACCAAATGAAAGTAACCGTTTCTGTGTTGGATAGAATAAGAATACAAACATTGCTTTTGTTGATAGCAGTTACTAAGACTTTGATTAGACATAAAGTCGCAATTAATTTTTAATTTTGAGTATAAACCAAAACAGTTTCTTAATCATGCTTGCAAAATGAGTAGTAGAGTAGATCCAACCTTCTTAGGGACTTATTTATATACTCAGTTGTCTATAAATCCATAAATTAATTTAATCACAATTAAGAAAATTTGTGTACTTTTAATTCAATCGAACACGGTTCCAGTGAATATGCCCGCAAGTTCAACTACATTATATATGTTTGAAGCTCTTATGACTATTCGATGTTAAGAATCTTGTATTGCAGTTGACCTGTGGAATACTGATTTTCTACAGATCTTCGTAATATAGATTACAAAATATTTATAACAAATTTAGTTATATGAGTTCTTTTATATTCTTCTCTAAAAACCCTTTAATGCTTTTAGTTCAAATCAGTTCATATTAAAGTAGCATTTTAGAAATACTTCGAAACTAATAAGTAAGATTATTTTTCTTAAGTTATGAAATATTAATTAAAATCTCATTTTCTAAACGATGTCAAAAAATTTTCAGTATATAGTACAAACCATGATTTGTAATAATTTTATAACACCGAAAGAAGATATCAAAATATATAAGTTTATATGATTGTTCATTGTTTAAATTTCACAATACATCGTACATGTCCCTCGTACATAAATGCATAAATTTACATTTATCTACTTTAGACTATTTTTGCTTTTTAATTTCTAAAAGCTTTATCAACAAAAACTAATTTAAAATTATTTTTCGTTCAGGTAATATAACTGCTGTGATAACTTATCTAGAACTCGGAGCAAGTATGGCTGATATTGTTGATCGAGGTTTTGATATGGAAGCTGCCATTATTGAAGGCAAAAGTGGCATGCGGCCTATTAACACTTTAAATAGGTGAGTAATATTAAAAAATTTCAATTCATTATATATTGATAGCTTCAATAAATGTATATTAAGCATTTTTTATTTGGATTTTATTTTTATTAAACATTCAAAAATTGTTTTAGTGATGAAATAAACTATTTAACGAATTTAGTATAGTCATATAGGTTTCATGAGAAACTTCAATATATTTCTTCTCTTAAGTACTAAAAAACATAAAGTATTTCATAACAAGCATAGATTGTAAAGATAGATTTGCCATTATGCTTTATTTAACTACTAGCAAGTCAAAAGCCTTGCATTTTAAGGTTGCGTTGCCTTCAGTGACACAGTTTAGAAATTCAAAACATCACTCTAAAGAAGTTATTCAAAAGTCTCTAATGTCACAAACTCTAATATTAATAGATTTTTCTATTAATACTATCATCAAGTGCATTAAAGTTAGAGCGTCCAAGCTATTTAGCAAAATAGATTATCAGAAGAACTCCAGCGACGGATATAAATATCTTTACTGTCGATATAGTATAGACATCGATACTATACTTAAAGTAAAAAGGACATTTACAATAAAAGTGCTGTAGATTCTCAGGTTCTTTCAGAGAACATCAAATGAAACGTATCCAAAAGTTGGAATAAAGGTGCTATCTATCAAATTATTTAATTCATAATTCATCTGATAAATATGCGATTTTTCGACATCCGTACTATTATACCTTAATAAAAAAGAGATTTCATAATAGAAGTGATAGAGATATAGATGATATAGGTTCTTCCAGCGTGTAAATCAATGAAGCACACCCAGGTAAAAGAATAAAGGTTACCAAATCTTTTAAATCACAGTTTTCTATATCCTGCTAAGTGTTGATTTTGTTAAATGCTTTTCTGAATTCGCTCAATATGGTTGCATGACATATTTTATCATAGGCCATCCTTAAGGTATGCCCCACCAGTTAAATTCATATCTTTTAATCTGAACTTTAATATAAACTTGTTTTATTATAGTAGCAACTTTTCATTTGATATAATTCTGGGTTACCATGTATTCAATATATTATATAGATAGCAAATGAAAAACCACTTAATTTTGTTTTTTGATATTTCTGACAAATTGTGCTTTTTGAATTCTGCACGGTAAAGCGTCAACAGTGCAAGAGCCAATAATGGTAATGCTTACTAGATAACTGAAACTATTGTTGTTTTCAATCACAGTACATTTATATTGTTTTTTAAAAGACTTTGGGTATATTTACATGGTACATTTAAATGGTACATTTGCAATATTTATTATTAATAATATACTCAGAGTTATTTAATCTGAGAACTTTATGGATTCTTATATTATTACTGTTCTTTTATATTCCATTCCATATACCCCAGTTTTTTTAAACAATTTGTATATCTCAGTTGCAGTGGCGCTTCTATTTTTGAGGCCTCTCATGCAATTTCCAATTACATTGCAGTAAATGGTAGTACATTATAAACTACTTTTTTGTATCAACCTTCCCACTTTCACAGTTATTTTCTATTTGTGCATCTGCTATATTTTAAATACTCACAATTACATTTATAAATATGTGTGTTCCCCAAATTACACATACACTTCAACATTAACTACCATTTTTATAGTTTTTAATCAGTGTAAAATAATCTCGCTGACACATTAATTACACAGATTACACAAAAATTTGTTTGGATTCATGCTGCGCTACTGCACGTGAGTATCGGTAAACAGCTAATAAAATATGGACAGCAAAATAAACAAACACAATAATGTTGGCAATTATTTCAGCAAAATTACAATTTTGTGATTAAATAAAGAAGTTCGTTAACTTTGTGCGTAATTTTTAGGTGATTTAACGAGTTTCATTTAAACACAAAGAAATTTAATTCAGTTTTATTTAAATTTCAAAATTGTGTTGGTTAAAATTTTCCTGAATTTCCTGCTTAATATGAAGTTAATTTTAAATTACCATATACCATTATTATTCTCAATATTTACTCTTTAGTTTATTATTAAGTAAAAACGTACTTGGCCCTGTTTGAACGATTTGCATTCAAAAGAACAAATTTGTTTGGACTATAAAATATCATCAGAGCATTGACATTTCCATTTGCCTTACATGAGATGAAATCGTTAATCGTTGCCTATACTTGAATGTATTTTTGTTCGTATTTTGTTCATATATTTACGTTCAGTGCACTGAACTTATAAGCAGGCACAGATTAATTTTAATTTACCCAATTCTTTTTGTCAATAAAAAACAAAAAAAACTTTTTTGTAAACTGAACGCTTCAATATATCAAGCAATTACCTTCAAATAAAATTGAACAATGTTTTTTATGGCAGTAATTTGAATAAAATAAAGCATTAGAAAGTTATTACACATTTTTGAAATAAATTTTTTTAATTATAAATTTAAAAAATTTTGTCTGTGGACGCTGGAGATGCCGGGGTTTGAACCCGGGACTTCTCACATGCGAAGCGAGCGCTCTACCACTGAGCTACATCCCCTTGAATCAGCTGCGTGGCTAAAGTTGTACTAATGCATGTGATTACAGAAAATTATCTAGGGTTGCCAAGCATTTATATTGCGCCAATTAAAAGTGTTTACAAAAAATTTAAGCTCATTAATATCATGCATAATACAATAACTCTTTTAAGTATCTAATTGAAAAATTCGACTACGTTGAGTAGAAAAAACAGTTCAGCTTTTTTAATTTCAATTAAATTAATTAATTTTTGAAATGTGTTTGGTTAAATATAGTACCTTATTATATACCATTATAACAATATTTATAAATTAATAAATAATTATTTTTTGCATACTTTAACTCTTAAGTATCTAATTGAAAACTTTCAGTACACTTTTTATTGAGGCAAAACTGTTCAGCTTTTTGATTTCAATTGAATTCATGAAATTGAAAAATGTGGTTAGATTAAATACAATATATTATTATAACAATATTAATAAATTAATAAATAATTGTGTAATTTAGTTCATAATATTAAATTCTTTAAAAATGTGTATTAAGAATTTATATAAAATTCTATAATATTGTATATAAATAATCAAATTTATGATTTTTTAGTTTTAATAAGAAAAAATATACAATAACTTTGATCGTGCGTTCAAACTGAAGATTCTATCATAATAAATACCACTGAATATAATAATTGCCTTTAATATGATATAATGATATTATGATATAAATTGTTATAAATGCAATGTTGCATTTGCTGTTGAATCATAATATGAGATTTATTACATTTAAATCACAGAGTTGTTATTCACTTTTAGTTTCAAACTATTTAATGATGTTATTAAACAAACTCAAGGGCACAATAGACCCGACGGTCGCAGTGCCACATCCCCTTACAGTAATTAAACAAACCCAATCATAACACGAGATTTATTACAAATAAATCGCAGGGCTGAATACTACACTGAACATAACAGACTATTCGGCTTGAGATTACTCAACAGATCGAATCATAATATAAGATTTATAGAATCACTAGAGCTTATTAAATGCTTATTTCGATCAAATTTTTGGATGCACTAGCTTTTATCTGCTTTGAAGTCTTAATAAATAATATCTTAATAAAGAATATAGAATATGAAATAAGGATATAATAAAGAATATAAAGAATACTGTAATACAAGAGTATCCAACTTCTTGAAAATAATAGTTAAATGATTGTTATAAATTTTTAGTTTACCGCACTGATATATTCAAAACTACGTTTACGTTATTCATGTATTGGATTTTTAATACAATGGTACTACCATTTATATTAAAAACAAAACTATAAACTATTACGTATTGCAAGTTATATTAAACAATTGCATGATATTACATATTTGATATATAATATTTAAAAAAATTTACTTTTTTTCGTTTTAGAACTTCTGTGTTATTTGTTTCAATTTCATTTATTGTACTTATGGTTGTATCTCTGGTTTGGCTGATCTTCTACTACATACAGAGGTTTAGATATCTACAAACAAAAGACCAACAATCGGTAAGTAAATATGCAGTTTATATATGCCATTGAGATGTTTGCTAGACCTGATAGACTATATAGACAAGAAATAATCTCCAAATTTCTATTTCTTAAATTTGTGAGACAGAATGGTGACGTATTAGACAATTTCTTATTTTTATTCATCCTTGTAGGTTTGAGGTTTGA